AGCTTGGGAACATAACGTTGTATTTCATTCTCAAGGGTTAGAAGGTTCAGCCATTAATGTATAGGTATGTTCAATAGCGTTTAAGTCACATCCTGTACTTTGCGCTTCGTTCATAAATGCAGAATAATATATAATAATATTGGCATTGCGACCCCTCCATAATTCCTATGTAACTCCCCTAGGGGTCGCGACCCACCGGTTAGAATGTCGGAAATCCACAAAAATATTTCCCTCATAGCTGTTATCGCTTGTCGAACAGCTCACTACGCCTATGTGATTGGGTGGTATTCTAACATCCTTTTTTGCTCGTAATGTTGTTTTCTTTGGTGGTAAACTCTCTAACTGCAACTCTGCCATTTCAGCGTTAGAGAGTCGAGCATTTCCATCTTGAATGACCATGACGACATCTTTTTTATTCAAGTTGATCAGAACTGGCATACTTTGTAAGCGATCAGGAACAATTAAAATTGGAACTTCTGCCTAAAATAGATCATCTTTCATAGTTAACTTGATAGTACCTATGACCTTAGACGTAGCTTCACCATATCCGTTAAGATAAATGTCAATTTCGGACCATTTTAGTTTCAAGCTACAAGCGCCGGACTCTCGCGTAAGAATTTCCTCACACCCTGAGTCTACGAATTCCTGGGTGTCGTGACCATTAATAGACCATGTGACGTAATAACCACTGTTCTCTGAACACGTTTGAGCGTCAAAAAATAAATGCTTTTTTCGATTTTTTGCTCAAGCAATTTTCCGTTGTGTGTCCCAATTCCTTGCAAATCGTAAACTCCGTACGGGGCTTGGTGCACTGTGTTTGAAAATGCCCATATTGTTTGCAGTTGTAGCACTTGCTCCTTTTTGTAGTTCGCTTCTGCTCAGATACATTGAGAAACTCCTGTTGTCGTTTTTTCTGTATTTTAGGAAAGTCTTGCCTTAGCCTATCTCGCATAACAGTCAGCAAAGCCAGATAATCTCTATATAACTCTTCGGGTGTCGAGTATCTGCCAACTTATGTCCCTGATTGAATGGAGTTGTCGTGGATGCCGTCGATGAGTATAGCTACCGCATTTTTCCCTGATACTCACTGCTCACTGGCGGAGAAGCTGCATTTTTTCAAATAAATATTCCGTCCAACTCTCATCTGGTAGTTTAGTGTGACGAATTAGCGTTCTTATGACCGTAGGAAAATCATAGTGATCAGGAAAACCCTCAATGAGTAGCTGCTACCATTCGTCCTAAGAATACCTGTAGTTTTCTAGGTTATTGTACCACGATTTGGCTAGTCCTGTTAATCTTGACTGCATATGATAAACAGTTTTAAAAAAAATCCGATCTGTTAGACCCCTCCACTTATAGAAAGCTGAAGCGCAATCCCTCTGCTTCTATATTGCGAACAACCAATCAACTTGTCCAAGCACTACCGGTGGACCCGGAAAACATAAGGAAACTCATCAAATCTGAGGCTTTACCACCTAGAATATATGAGCTACCTGAGATTCACAAAACAGGCAACCCACTCAGGCCCATTGTGAGTGCAACAGATTCGCCCACATACAGCATAGCCAAATACCTCACCACCCTCCTTCAGCCACGGATTGGCTAATCCAGCTCTTATGTTAAAGACTCAACTCATTTCATCGAAAGGATCAGTGACATCACTCTACTACTAAATGACATTCTGGTTAGTTTTGATGTCGTCTCATTGTTTACTAAGGTACCACTGAATCAGGCCTTAGAGTATTTGAAAGATGTTTTTCCGGAGAAAATTAACAACTTATTTTACCACTGTCTGACGTAGTCGTCAGAAAGTACGTAGTCGTACTTTCAATGGCAAAATGAATTGTTTGAGCAGACAGATGGAGTCGCAATGGGGACACCACCCGGTTATCGCTAACTTCTGCATGGAACACTTCGAATAAATAGCTTTGCGAACGGCCACAAAGAAACCTACTTGTTGGTTTCGCTATGTAGATGACACATTTGTTGTTTGGAACCATGACGAGGCAGAGCTCAAAAACTTCCTTAATCATCTAAACTCAATAGAACCCAGGATACAGTTTACGATGGAAGTTGAGAAGGACAACAAGATTGCATTCCTCGGCGTCCTCTTAGAAAGAAAACCCTCAGGTAAACTGGGACACAGAGTATACAGGAAGCCGACGCATACGGACAGATACCTCAACAAGGAATCCAATCACCATCCTAGGCAAAAGAGAGGAGTCATTAAAACTCGATCTGACAGGACAATCCGGATTTGTGGACCCAGATACCTTCAGGACGAGATGCAACACCTAAAATCAGCACTTAGAGGAAATGGGTACTCCAAGCAAGAGATAAATAGATCCATAAGACCGAAGCAACAGCGCACAAATAACAAGGAACCAGCACAGGTGGCAGGGAGAGCCTTTCTTCCCTATATCAAAAATATCACATATTGCTTAAAACGAACGCTAGAAAGACACAACTTTAAGCCTATCTACAAGCCTACAAGAACAATTCAGCAAAGTCTAAGATCGTCCAAGGATCCTAGGGCACCTCTTGAAACGGCTGGCGTCTATAGAATTCCCTGCTCTTGTGGATCTGTCTATGTAGGAACAACCAAACGCTCTATCAACACCAGGGTCAAAAGGCACAAAAGAAACTATCAGCAGGGACAAATAGATAGATCAGCAATCGCCGAACACGTGCTAACACAAACAAACCAAGCATTGGATGGAACCAAACATTTTTACACCAGAGACTCCACAGAGAAGCCATAGAGATACAGAAACACCACAACAACTTCAACAGAAAAAAAATGGGCATGAACCTCAGCAAAAGCTGGTTACCATTTCTTCGAAAAACAAAGACCCTTCCTTTCCGAGAACCAGACAAGGAAAATAGCATAATACAAGCCACGTCCACAACTCTGGATATAAATAACGCAGGTCCAACAACGTCGAATCCAGTCATCGGAGGAATACGGAAGAAAACACTTCATCCTCTACCACACCGCCTCTGAAGATGTCTACCGCAGCAGTAGACGAAACGTTAGGTAGAAATACTAATAGACCACGGCATTATAGCCCGGAAAAAACTTTTTTACTAGATTTGACGGGCCTTCATTCTTTATTTGATGCCCAATTGTTATTATTATTATTAGCAAATACATATACATAACATGTAATAAAGAAATCATAAATAATAACGTTTGAATTGAAAATCGATGAGCCAATAATTCTTCCAGCATTTTAAGACATGAACATTCTGTTTACTCCAAAAAAATATAAAACTTTTTTAATAACAAAGTTAATCCCTTATCAAACTCATTTAAGACCCTATAAGAAACACCCCCGATCAAGTTTTCCAATTCGTTAACCAGAAAATCCTTGTCGAGCCCATTTTAACGAACGACCTTCCAGTCGTAAACCATTTTGACTGGACCCCGCAAATTTTAATATTCCAATTTTTCTTTTTTCATATTATGATCGATTAAAATGTCTGCGAATAGCGATTTATCCCTCGGATCATAAAAATCCCACCCTAACTCTATTCGGATGAAATATAAAATTCATTTAAATTTATGGTAGCAGGTTTTCGGGAATAATTTTTTTACGAATTAATTTCGGCAACGGTGTTTACTTTGGATAAATCATTTTATGACTGGGAGACGTTTACTGGTTCATAAATCATAAATATTGCCGGTGTAGGATTTTGTAATTTAAAGCTTCATGTCTACAGCGTGTTTGTGTTTGATAACAAGTCTGTTCATACTTTTATATTTCAAGATTAGTTGAATCATTAGAATCTAGACATCAATCAAAATTTTCTTCAAGCTTACTGGGATAAAGGTTGAAAAATATTATCTGGACAGATGTCGATGATCACTTCTAATTGAACTGCTTTTGTATCCAAACATATGCCTTTCTAGATTTCTATTGCCCTGATGGCAAAAATATGTGATGAGGTGACTGTCTAGGAATAGAGTTACTATTTTTTGAACTATTAGAGCTGTCAAATTGTTTTTTTTGGCGACCGTGCCAGGATACTTCTATTGCAAGTATGAAGAAATCCAAGAAAGCCTTAGAACTACATCGAACAGCTTTTACAAGTGTGTGATGAAGTAGAAGATGGAATGTCCAAAGAAAGGTACGATTTAAGTAAAGTAGGAACATAGTAGTATTAGAGTTTTGGACTATGAAATGCTTCAGTTAAACGAATTGACTCAACTTATATTCGAATTGATGTTAAACTCAGTTGACGAGGAAGCAAGCATGGATGAGTTGAACTGTAGATACCGCGTAATCAAATTTAACTCTTTAACCCTTAAGTTGTAGCGGTACAAATAGCCGCATAACTTAAGGGATATCTAATCCAAGTGGAGCTTTGAATGTGACTCTTGTAGAAACGAAAGTCACGTTCAAAGCTCCACTTAGATTAAATATCCCTTGAGTGATAGCCATGAGAATAGCCATTAAAGGTGTAAAATACCTGTTCAATATTCGGCTCAAGTAAAACAGACGTTAGTTACGAAAATTGTCAGAGAAGTACAGAGTAGTAGTCAAATTAACTTTATATTAGTCAGTTCTGGGTCCGATTCTTCAACGTAATTTGCGACTCCCGAGCCATTGAAGGTTAAGCCATTCAGTTCAAATTTATCCGTGCAAATTTCCATCGGTGTATTATCATTTCAAGGCGATACAAGTCATTATTCGAAGATACAGTCCATTCACAATATTTGGTAGCTAAATTGCGGAGTGCCAAGGGACAATTCCCAACATACTTTTTGGTCCTTCGAGCTGGATGAACAAACAAATTCTTAAAATCCATGAAGATGGTGAACATTTTCACTTACTGATTAGTGACAAGTTGACAACATCCAGGTAAATTTTTTAATTATTACCCAGGGATTCATGTTCCAAGAACGACATCATCTTCAAGAGTTTTTGCATGACTAAGCTTATTACCAGAAAAAACGCGTAGAAAAGCAAATTTTGGGAGCGGCTGCCGACGTTTACCAGAGACTGTGAGCCAGTATCCAGGTCCAAGTGTCCACCCATTTCCAAGTAATGCTTTGTTTTTTATCTAGTGATTTTATACTCAATATTAAAATATTTAGGAAGAAGTCGGCATTACATTCAAAATTAACCAGCTTTGCAAAGTTTTTTAGCAAGATCAAGCAGACACAGCCAAATAAGTATAAGTAGGTTGAGATTGAAATGCGAATTAATGAATTAGAATCTCGTTTATTGAAAGAATTTTCAAATTTACAGTTGAAATTAGAAGATTTAGATCCAGATAATTTTGACGTTTCAGAAACTGAGAAGTTTGAAAAATTTTATTATGTCACAGTTTCTGAAGCAAAGCAATTTCTCACAAGCATGATGTTCGACATCATCTGATGCTCACAGTTCGGAGCAGCAGAACTTGCTTCAAGCAATGAGAAAATCAAGAGCCAAATAGGCACCTTGCATGAAAAATTAAATTGATAACTGTTTATTGCAAACTGTAGGAAATCGGAAAAAAATCTATAAGTATTTTTTTATTTTGTCCAAATATGAATATTCCGAAAGTTATACAAAGATTAAGTTTTGTATATATAGATATACTCAGCTTGGAGTGACGCCATAGGATATCAAAAATAAGCACATTTCAAAGCGTTGTATCTCCGTCAATTTTTGTCTAACAAGAAAAAGAAAAAACACGTGTTGACTTATTTTTCATTGACAAACGAAATTAGCAATAAACAAAATTTATGCAAGGTGCCTATTACCTATCATTGAATTACCTAAGTCTTGTCATATAAATATTTATGAGCAAGTTAATTACCAAACTTATAAAATTGTTATTTAAATTAATCTTGAAAATATCTATATAGCAAAATAACAAAATAAATCTGTTTTCATGATACATTTGTATCTATTGAGTCTCTTAAAAATCAGTTTTGTTACTTCAAATGCTCTAACAAATCGGATATAAAGCACTTCAGTCTAATAACAATATTTCTGTGCTACTTGGGCAGCGACTGTTAATGAACTTACATGGCAACTATATAGTCCCCAGTACATCGACCTAAAAATTTTGTAACTCATGTACACGCCAAACTTCCTGAGCGGCTTCCTAACACCAAGTCGGACAATATTTTTCATATCTCCACCTTGGGCGATGGGACATTGCCGCGCTAGCTCTTCGTGAAGTTGTCGTTCTGACGTCCCTAAGGAAGTTGATACATGTACGTGTAGTTTTAATGCCAATCGACTGTTTTTGACATTATATTAACGATATCACATTTGTCGGACAAAAACCATGTGGCTTTGGGGAAGGTCCGACACCCCCAACATGTCGCTGTGGCGTCCCTAAGGAAGTTGGTACATGTACGTGTAGTTTTAATGCCAATCGATTATTTTTTGTATTACATTAACGATATCATATATGTCGGACAAAAATCACGTGGCTTCGGAGGGGTCCGACGCTCTCAACATGTCGCTGTGGCGTCCCTGAGAAAGTTGATACATGTACGTGCGTTTTTAATACCAATCGACGGCTTTTTACATTACATTACCGATATCACATTTGTCGGACAAGAAATTTGAGACAATAAATGAAAAAATTAAAATTAGTTTGCTTTTAAGCAATGTGCATATTAGTCAATTTATTATTTACCTACTTTGTCAAATACCTGTGGGGACCTGTGTCATATTCGCTGATCTGTTTTTTTTTGGATAATTCTCCGAGTATTTACGGGAATGATTTAGTGAACGGTCGTTGAAAACCACGCGTTTGAAAAAGAATGGATATTCTGTCGTGTTTTTTGTGCGATCTCAGGAGTAGATATCCTGAATTTCGGCAGAAATTGATCAAAAGGACTTTTGTTGTCCGACTGACTTTAATACTCATTCTTTTTGTCCGACATTTACTACACATGTTTTAAAATTACATTGTAACTCATAATTATTTTTGTCGGACATACATGTATCAACTTCCTTAGGGGCGCCACAGCGACATGTTGGGGGCGTCGGATCCACCCAAAGCCACGTGATTTTTGTCCGACATATGTGATATCAATAATGTAACATAAAAAACAGTCGATTGGCATCAAAACCATACGTACATGTATCAACTTCCTCGGGGACGCCACAGCCACATGTTGAGAGCGTCGGACCTTCCCCAAAGCCACATGGTTTTTGTCCGACAAATGTGATATCGTTAATATAATGTCAAAAACAGTCGATTGGCATTAAAACTACACGTACATGTATCAACTTCCTTAGGGACGTCAGAACGACAACTTCACGAAGAGCTAGCGCGAAAATGTCCCATCGCCCGGGGTGGAGACATGAAAAATATTGTCCGACTTGGTGTTATGAAGCCGCTCAGGAAGTTTGGCGTGTACATGAGTTACAAAATTTTAGGGTCGATGTACTGGGGACTAATATTGATGTACATACATTGTAATATTTTTTTTTTAGAGTTTGATGAATCTGATTAAGGGCTAACCTCCATTTATTAATTTTTGTTAAATGTGTTCCACCAACAATTGATTTTATCTTTCAAAATTTGATGCTTGATTTTTAGCCTGACTCTGAAAATATACATATATATACTAATTTAATTTGAAACTTACTTGTTTTATTGGTTTACCTATGTCAAGATTAGGTTGAGTTATATGCCTTATTTATTTCCTTTCCAGAATTATCAATTACCGTTTGCTGATTTTTTTTTAAGGTGTATTTCTGAATTTTCATCCTTCAATATTTTATGTAACTATTAATTATTTATTTATTTTTTTTAAATTTAGAGGCGCCCTTGCCATTCTGTACTTATCGAACTATTGACCCACCCCTGATAATTATTCGCTGAGCAAACTGAGCATATTATGAGCCTCCTGTTAATTTGTTAACTGAAGGGGTTACAAATTTCGATACACGGCAGGTAATCAAATGAATAATTTTATCCATAACTCATAAGTTGTTTGAACCTATTGTCTTTTCGTGTCCAGTTGCGTTGATTCCAAAATTTTTACTCCAAAAGACATGCTCTTCGAATTTGGGATGAGACGTGAGGTCACTGGAAAAATTCGAGAATTATATTCGAAATGGCTATAAGCACAGATGCTACAAGATTTGTCATAATTGATGTTAAAGTTCCTGTTTTAAGGTAGACACCTTAATGACGTATAATGGGTTATTTTATTAATTGTAACGACATAATTAGCTGGTCTTGATAACATGTCTTTAGAACATGTCACTTTTGCCAGTCTTGTCGAGATTGTCTCTGGATTGATGTTACTTATAAGCTGCTTACGGAAACAGATCTAGGATCAGTTAGATCAGTATCAGCTCTTCCAACGGTGGTTCTAGGGAAGAATCCCGGGAGGGGGGACGGGGGTAATGCAATATTTTTACCCATACATATCAGTAGGTGAAAAATTCCAGATTCTATGAAATTTGATGGAAACCTCGATGAAAATTTCAGAAGGCAAACCAGACAAAGTGAAAATTGCAATGCTCTTAAATACATTTGGAAGTCAAGGTGTTGAAATATTCAATACTTTCAAGTTGGCTTCGCCTGAAGAGAAAGAGAAATATGATAAAGTTATAGACGAATTTAGAAAATACTCTGCATCTTGAAAAAATAGGACCTATAAGAGGGCCAGATTATCCATTTTTGGTGATCTTAGAAATCTGAAACAGTCCTGCGTGTATGATTTCCAAAAAGATTCTATTCTTGTTGATAGAATCATTACTGGAACAAATGATTTAAGGCTTCAGAAAAAATTGCTAAACTTATCGCTATAAGAAGCCACCAAATGTGTAGAAATGCAGAAGTAACAAAAAAACGGATAGAAAAAGTTTGAAACAAGGAGGATTTAAGTGTAGAGAAGAAAAAATATTATATAGTTGCGAAAAGAAAGAATCAGCAATCAACCGTATCAAATAGTGAAAGAGAACCATTGAGATAGGGTAAAAAAACAGCACAGAAAGAAAATTTAAGTATTCTAAATGCGTTAACGTCGATCCATATGGAACGTGCTCAGCCTTTGGGAAGAAGTGTCACAGGTGTGGCAAAATGAATCATTTCATAAAGGCTTGCAGAACGAGAATATAAAAATTAAGAGAAATCTCCCAACAGGAAGAAACAGGAGACCAAGACCTTAGGGAATTATTTCTTGGCAGTGTCGTAAAAGTGGGAGAAGTAAGAAAGGACTATAACACAGTATGGATGGAAGCAGTAAACATAAGTGGCAAAAGGGTTATATATAAGGTTGACTTTGGATCAGAAGATAATATCATGCCAAAGCGAGTACTTGAACAATTAACTGACTGGCTAAGACTAGTGTAATTTTAGAGGCTTATGGAGTTACTAAACTGAAACCAGAAGGTAAGATTAAATTGAACTGTAAAATCAAAAATAAATCTGTGGATTTGGAACTCTTGGTACTAGATTTAAACGTAAAACCAATAATTGGAATTCCTAGCTTCTAAGAATTAAGTAAAAATACAATCTATGCAGAATGGAGAGCAATTTATTAAAAAAATATTGATGTGTTTGAAGAGTTAGGGTCATTTTCAGAATAGTGTAAAATAATATTAAAAAAAGGTAGCATTCCTGACGCTAGTATTTGTAGGCGAGTGCCTTTAGTCATAAAAAACAGATTGCAAGGTCAACTTAGAAATTTAAGGAAAGAATTATTGCTAAAGTAAACGGTGCTAGTGAGTGAGTTGTTAATTATTGTTGAAAGATTTAACAAGACCTCACGAACTAAATAAATGTATTGAACGAGAGTTTTTTGAAATACCTAGTTTGGAGGAAATTAGTAGCAATCTGGCAGGAAAGCCATATTTTTCTGTTCCAGACTTCAAAAACAGGTTTTACCAAGTTAAACTTTGTAAATAATCGAGCAAACTCATGACATTTTGAACTTCATCTGGCTGTTATAGGTTCTGTAGGCTGCCATTTGGCTTAAATTTAGCTCCTGAATATTTCCAGAAAATAATCTTTAAAAATTTTGGTGACTAAAAAATACAATAATATATCTTGATGATTTCTGAATAGCAAA